GTCTCCTTTGTTTTGAGCAGCGACTGGTTCAGTGTTTACAGATGTTCCTTCGCCCATGTCTACACCATCCTGTGGGTCATCTTCAACATTTTCTTCAACATTAATAACCACATTGTTTGACATATCCTTTGGAAACGACTCCTTAGCTTCAATAAATTTCATCCTATCACCAATAATTGGGATAAGCAACTCCGTACCCCGTTCGGTCAGTGCCATTAGGGCTTTAGAATCAATTCTGTTTTCTATATTTTACAAAAACAAACATTACAATTAAGGAACAAAACATTTTGTAAACAAAGTATGCGACCAGGCGGTGTGCGCACTGCGACCGCAATGCATTATTTTGGATATTTTCTTAAAGATGGCGGATTTCTAGCACGATTAAAGGTATGTTGGCGCTCTATTTTCTGCCACGTTTTAAAGTTTAAACTTTTTGTTTTTTATTAAAAAGGAAGTTACATGTAATATTGTTGTGCCGTGTTACTTTTCAAATCGATAATTTTTGGAATTCGATAAAAAATATCATTTGATTGTAAACTCGTGTATTTTTGCCAAATACACTGGTCCATTTACTTTTACATGTCACAGCTTAACCGTTCACACATCACATTTAAAATTGCAATTGGCATAATCTATGACCATTATTTGTGACCATATTTAATAGCGCCCCTTGGCGCCCCTCAATATTGTATATTTTTTGGTCTTTTATCTCATGATATTTCCTTTGCTAATTTCAGGTCTTCTTGTCCAGAGTTCATGTTCTCCCGCTATTTTGGGGAAGCGTTCGTGCATCCCAGAGTCCCATACGCCAGGCAAACAAAAAACAAAGCGGCAACGAAATAATAAACGCAAAAGAGAAGCAAAAAAAATTTCAAATGGAAAAAATAATTGTGTCAAAATGAGCAAGACACAATACACAATACACAATGGCAGACTGTTGGACAACCGAAGAACAGACTTAATGGGACTGTTTCACATTTGACAGGATCAATGACTGTCTGGTGGTGAAAAACCATTTGTGCTTGTTGGAACCGTTTCTTGTAGTCAGTTGGAGCAAATGGCAATGACTGGAACACGTTTAAATAATTTTTGTTCTCACAAGCAATTTTCTTAGCCTTATTTATGCCAATACCTCGGATATTTTCTATGTAGTCACAACCAGCTGCAATACACATATCAGTAAACTTTTCCTTGGTTAATTTTAGATGTGCTAAAATTTTTGCCATTTCCACCAAGTTACCCATACCATTTGTTTGTAGCTTAAATAGCACCTGAAATATATGACATGTATACTGTAGTCCACATTGCTGCAAAATGCCTTACCTACGGATGTAATAATACAGATAGTGTCTCGCACAAATAGTGTACAGCATTATACCTGGGCATTCACCAAGTCAATGTTGAAAATAATAGTTCTGTGTAAATTTTACCCCACCCAGGCCAGCCAATATTTAGAAGCAGGACACCCATGTCAGCAGTTTCACACAGTGTATTAATTATGTTATGGTATGAACTACTTTGCATATGTATTTGAACTGCCAGGCTGACCTGGTTCCCAATCTGATAAAACTTTCTCCCTATAAACACAAACTGGGCTGGGGTGGATGGAAGTTCTATGAATGCTGCTGTGAGTTATGTAGAAAAACTGTTAAAACACTGTAAACCCACTACACTTGTGCTGTTTATAAAGCATATACAATCACAACAAATTTGTTATTCATATATTTTATAACACTTCATTGAACAATGTTTTACTAAGTCTATACCTGCATACATGACCACCATCATCAAAATGCAAACAAAAACATCCCATTTTATACAACAATTATTATACAACAACATGCTAGAATCCATGTATTAGCATTAACATCACACTGATATAGAGCATTTGCACATGACGTCACAGCCGCCATGTTGGTGTTCCAATTCAAAATAATTTTAATTAGACTCTTGTCTGGAACACCAACATGGCCGCCATGGCTTTTGTTGAGTTGGTCCCTGGGGAATGAGTGCAAATGCTCTATACAAGCAGGTCCTAATCTTAACACACTGCAAAACCACAGCCTCAAATCAAAGTGCTTGGGGACAAGGCAACCTCGTCCCCAGGGCCTATTGAGGAAGGAGGCAAAGCAGCAAAGGCCCTGGTAAAGGCTGGTCACGTGATGCTTCAAATTTTGAATATTTCAGAATATTTAACTTTTCAAACCGGGGGTGCGGGCAAAGATTAGATACTATAAAGATGTGTCACTCTGCGAAAATTATGTCCGAGATTTTTTTATAGCCGCCATTTTGCCAGTAAGTGTCAAATTCGTCAAAATTCGTCACATAGCGCGAGCATCGCGATGGCAACCTATTGTATTCGTCTCGCCGCCATTTTGGCAGTAAGTGTTATGCACTCGTCATCTCGCGTGATCAACACGGAAAATTAAGGACACGCAAACATTAGGGAAATACGTCGAGTGACACATCTTTATCTCTCTCCTCCGCAGAGGCTTTAGTTTTCTTAGGATTTAATATTACGATGAGATACATTTCACTACACTTTA